ATGAAGTTTTTTGAGAAAAAAATTTGGATGCTCCAGGCGCCAGATCCATGGGCTAATACACACGAAAAATTGGAGAATTTGAGTGATTCTTAAAAAAAGGCTTGTAAATACGAAAATGGGCGTTAGAAAAATGGTGTGAGTATACGTGAAGGTTTCCTTAACTCATTTTGGAAGTCCTCATAAAGTTTTTTGAGAAAAATAATTTTGGGTGCTCGGGCGCCAGATCCATGGGATCATACACACGAAAAATCGGGAAATTTAGGCGATTATTAAAAAAGGGTTTGTAAATGCGAAAATGAGCGTTAAACAAATGGTGTGAGTAAACATGAAGGTTCCCAAACTCATTACGGATGTACTCATAAAGTTTTTGAGAAAAAAATTTAGTTTCTCCGAGGTCCAGATCCATAGGCTGATACACACGAAAAATCGTGGAATTTGGGAGATTTTTAATAAAGGAGCTTGTAAATGCGGAAATAGGCGTTAAAAAACTAGTGTGAGTCTACGTGAAGGTTGTCCAACTCATTACGGCGGTACTCATAAAGTTTTTTGAAACAAAAATTAGGGTGCTCCGGGCGCCGGATCCATTGCTAATACACACGAAAAATTAGGTAATTTGAGCGATTCTTTAAAAAGGGCATGGAAATGCGAAAATGGGCGTTAAAAAAAGAATGTGAGTATACGTGAAGGTATCCCAACTCATTAGAATGGTACTCATAAAGTTTTTTGAGAAAAAAAATTAGGATGCTTCGGGCGCCAGATCCATGGGCTAGTACACAAGAAAAATTGGGAAATTTGGGTGATTCTTAAAAAAAGACTTGTAAATGCGGAAATGGGTGTTAAAAAAATGGTATGAACATAGTTGATGGTTCCCCAACTCATTAGGGAGGTCCTCATAAAGGTTTTTGAGAAAAAAAAATTGGATGCTCCGGGCGCCAAATCCATGTGCTAATATATACAAAAAAATCGGATAATTTGGGAGATTCTTTAAAAATAACTTGTAAATGCGGAAATAAACGTTAAAAATGTTGTCAGTATACGTGAAGCTTCCCCAACTCATTACAGAGGTCCTCATAAAGTTTTTTTAAGTACAAAAATTTGGATACACAGGGCGCCAAATCCATGGGCTAATACACACGAAAAATTGGAAAATTTGGGCAATTCTTTAAAAAAGGTTTGTAAATGCGGAAATTGGCGTTTAAAAAATGGTGTGAGTAAATTTGAAGGATCCCAACTCATTATAGAGGTCCTTATTAGTTTTTTGAGAAATTTTTTTGGGTGGTTCGAGCGCCAAATCCATGGGCTAATACACACGAAAAATCTAAAAATTGGGCGATTCCTACAAAATGGCTTGTAAATGCGGAAATAAGTGTTAAAAATGGTGTGAGTTTACGTGAAGGTTCCCCAACTTATTACGGAGGTCCTCATAAAAAAATTTAGAATTTTTTTTTTGGTTGCTTCGGGCCAGATCCATGCGCTAATACAAACGAAAAATCAGGGAATTTGGGCGATTTTTAAAAAGGTTCTTGTAAATGCGGATGTGGGCGTTAAAAAAATAGTGTGAATATAAGTGAAGGTTCCCCAACTCATTACAAAGGTCCTCATAAAGTTTTTTGAGAATTTTTTTTTGGGTGCTCTGGGTGCCAGATCCATGGATTAATACACAAAAAATATGGGAATTTGGGCGATTCTTAAAAAAGGGCTCGTAAATGCGGAAATGGGCGTTAAAAAATGGTGTGAGTATACATGAACGTTCCCAACTCACTACGGAGGTACTCATAAAGTTTTTTGACAAAAATATTTTGGGTGCTCAGGACGACAGATCTATGGGTTAATACACACGAAAAATTGGAGAATTTGGGCGATTCTTTAAAAAAAGGCTTGTAAATGTGAAAATGGGCGTTAAAAATGGTGTGAGTATACGTGAGGGTTCCCAACTAATTACGGAGGTCCTTATAAAGGTTTTTGAGGAAAAAAAATTAGGTGCTCCGTGCTCCAAATCCATGGGGTAATACACACGAAAAATCAGGGAATTTGGGCAATTCTTAAAAAGGGACTTGTAAATGTGGAAACGAGCGTTAAAAATGGTGTGAGTATACGTGAAGGTTCGCCAATTCATTACGGAGGTCCTCATAATGTTTTTTAAGAAAAAAAATTAGGTGCTCCGGGCACCAAATCCATGGGCTATATAGTCCATGGATTTTTGGTGATCCGAGATTCTAGCTTGATTTTGGCTGAACTTTTTCATGGACATCGGTTAAGACCTGAGTAATGGAGCCAGCTGGTCATGAGGGGGAAACAGGTGCATTTTCATGTTCAAACGAGTCCAAAAGCAAGTAAAATCCAGATTTTACCGATTTTCGTATGCGATAGTCCATGGATTTTGGCTTGTTTTTGGTTGAATTTTTTTTATGGACGTCCATTAAGACTTTAATAATGAAGTCAGTTGGTCCCGAAGGGCCAACGAGCGCATTTTTAAGTTCAAACGAGCCCAAAGCAGGTAAACCCAGATTTTGCCAATTTTCGTGTGCTATAGTCCATGGATTGTTGGTGATTTGGGATTCGAGCTTGTTTTTGGCCGAAATTTTTTGTGGACGTCCGTTAAGACCTTAGTAATGACGCCAGTTGGTCCCTAGGGGCAAACATGTGCATTTGAAGTTCAAACGAACCCCAAAGTAGGTAAAACCAGATTTTACCAATTTTCGTGTGCTATAGTCCATGGATTTTTTGTGATTCGGGATTTTGGCTTGTTTTTGGCTGAAATTTTTCATAGACGTCTGTTAAGACTTTAGTAATGGAGCCAGTTGGTTCCGAGGGGAAAATGGGCAACGAGCTCCAAAGTAGCTAAAATCATATTTTACTGATTTTCGTGTGCTATAGTCCATGGATTTTTGGTAATTCGGTATTCTGTCTTGTTTTTTGCCGAAATTTTTCATGGACATCCATTAAGACCTTAGTAATGGTGCAAGTTGGTCCGGAGGGGCAAACATGTGCATTTTCAAGTTCAAACAAGCCCCAAAGCAGGTAAACCCAAATTTTGCCAATTTTTCGTATGCTATAGTCCATCAACTTTTGGTGATCCGAGATTTCGGCTTATTTTTGCCAAATTTTTTCATGAACGTTCGTTAAGACCTTAGTAATGGAGCCAGTTGGTTCCAAGTGGCAAACATGCGCATTTTTAAGTTCAAACGAGCCCCAAAGCAGGTAAACACAGTTTTTACTGATTTTCGTGTGTTATAATACATGAATTTTTGGTAATTCAGGATTCCGACTTATTTTTTACCAAAATTTTTCATGGACGTCACTATATCTAGAAAATATCTCATTTTCTAATACTCCTCCTTGAGATTATGCTTGGATACTTCAAATTTCTCCTTGGGAAGAGTCTTGGTAATGATATATGCAATCTATTGATTTGAGCAACAATGAACAAGTTTAACTTCACCATCCTTTTCTGCTTGTCTGATAGCGTGAAACTTCACATTTGTATGCTTGATATGATCATGTTGTTCTGATTTTTTGGTAATAGATATTGTTGACTTGTTGTCAACCTTAATGACAATAGCTTCAATGTCATTTTTTCTCGAAAATCACAAAGAATTTTTCTTAACCATAAAGCTTGGTTAGTTGTATCAGCACTGGCGATATATTCTTTTTCTGAAAAAGATTGAGCTACCACCTCTTGCTTCTTTGAATTCCATGAGAACATACTTGAACGAAGTGTAAAAGCATATCCAAAAGTGTTTTTCATATCATCAACACTTCTTGCCCAATCACTATCCGAATAAACCATCAATTGCCCTTGCTCTTCCTTTTTAAACAAAATATTGTTGGGGTTTTAAATGTTGTGAATGGAAAATGAAGAGTTGTGACTTTTATGAAAAGTTGCGAATTTTATGAAAAGTTGTGACTTTTATGAAGAGTTGCGACTTTTATGAAGAGTTGCGACTTTTTCGTAGGGTTGTGACTTTTATGAAGGGTTATGACTTTTGACTTTTGCAAAGGATTGTGACCTTTTCACAAGGCACAATAAGCACTTGTTCATACTATCATTTGTTGCCTATAAATAAAAGGGTTTCCTCTTATTTTTCAACAATTAATTTTCTGAACTTCTTATTCTGCACAAACAAATTCTAGTGTATTTTACTACCTTTGAATGGTTCGGCAACACCGTAGTTTTAGGTAGTGAATAAGATCGTTCTATCTTGGAGGGATATATTCCATTAACTTCGGTTACTTGAGGAGAATAATATCCTCAAGGAAACAATGTGCATTCAGTAGACTTGATTTTCTTCTTTGAGAAAATATTTTCTATATGATTTCTGATTTGTTTCAGATTCTATTTTTTTTATTGGTTTTAAGTTTCTTGTTTTGAAGATATTCGTTAAACATTGTTGTTTCTTACCAAGTTCTCTAAAGTCGTTGTTCTAACTTCTAATTATCTTAGTAATACAAATTAATGACAAATACAATAATCAGCAGTTCCCTTGATATACCTCAACTTCGCTTAGCGACACCGAGATGAACTTGACTTGGAACATGCCTAAATCTCGACATAAGGGGATCACCTATTTGCTTGAGAGTTACTCATTGTTCAACACGAGCAAAACAATTTTGGTATTCTTGATGTTTGCATTTGTTTTGTTCGTTACAAAACTGAGGCAGCCTGAGACTAAGTAGGGAGCGTTAGAAAAAATTAAAGCATCGTTGACATTACTATAGTTATGGAAAAGACAGATCATTACCATACAAATCACTTGGATACTATATGTATGCTAGTGTCTATACAAGCTAAATATCGATGATCCTTTGTTTTGCTAGTGGTTCTTGTATGTATCAAAGAAGTATAGTGTGAGGCACCTACAACTTCAAAACAACTCATCTTACTAAGTTTAATACGACGAGTTCTAAAATATTCGTCGACAAACTAGTATTGCTCTAGCAAAATTATAAAAAGAAAATTTCAGATTAATACAATACAACCTCTGAGTAAAATAACCTCTCTAAATTCTATGCATTTCTATAGTTATCTTTGTTGATGTGAAGGGCAAAACTGAAGCTCGGCACATGGGACAATCTTTTTTCCTTAGCAACCATTGTTTGATGCAACCTACATGATATTCATGTCCGCATCGTAGAGTCCCAATGGTCTCTTCCTGCTCAAATTCCGAGTGACATATGGCACAAATCTCTTCAGTTTCCGTTGAATTATTCACTTCGTCTTTAAGCACAACAACCTGATGAATTCTTGTTTTAATCCATTCTATAGGATCATCCCTATTGACATTATAATTTGGCGGATTTCTCAAATTTTGATCGTCTGACCTCAAGTGCCTATCCACTGAATCACGGTCACTCAAGTTAGTAATATTAATTCCATCCATGATTATGATTGGAGCAGCAGAATTAATTACTAACTTATAATAAGTTTTGAGTGACAATTAATTATTTATAGAAATGCCTGGTGAGTCATATATTTCCTACTTCAATAATAAGTTGTATTCCTATTTGTTTTGGAATTGGATTTATTTTTATTGAGCTGTTAGTTTATCCATTTATCATTTATGGTATTATTTGTTAAATGGGCTTAAATCCTATTCCTAAAGAAATTAGGAGAACTAAATGAATTAAGAAACTTTACTTTCTTTCAGGTTTCAGCGTTAAGTGTCCAAACTTTGTTTCCGCGTTAAGTTTTTTAGAAAATATGGTAAGGCATCGAGTTAAGTTATTATAAAACTCTGTTTTCTGATAGCTCGTTTTACTCTGTTCATTTCAAAAATCGATAATATCGTTCTTTTCTGTTCCTTCAGTACTCAGAAATCCCAACATTGTTTCTGTTGAAATTTTCTCGTGTTGAACAATGAGTAACTCTCATTCTTCTCCAGATTATCATCAATATTCGCAATATATGTTTGTGAATTCGCGTAGAATTGGAATTAGAAGTAGGCGATCCCCCTATGATCATTCCAGAAGAAGACAACACGATTATCCCTTTGTTTTGGGATTACAAGCCACAATTACTCCACACAGTGGCGGAATTACAATTATTAACGTCAGTAGTCGTGATTTAGTGGAAAGGGCCTTAAGGCAGCTGCATGTACAAGACTATTTCAATGGCGGATCATCACCAAATTCTTCAGATGATTCTCAACCAGAAAGTGAACTGATTGATGATCAAGAGGAGGATGATATATTATTGGGGTATTTTAAAACAAGAATTCATTGTGTTGCTGGCGGAATAAATAATCCCACAGAAACAAAAGAGATTTGTGCCATATGTCAAGCGGAATTTGAGCATGAAGAGTCCATTGGGACACTGAGGTGCGGACACGAATATCATACAGGCTGCATCAAACAATGGTTGCTGAGGAAAAAAGATTGTCCCATGTGTCGAGCTTCTGTTTTGCCTTGAAATACATAGTAGCATTTAGAGATTATTTTATTCAGAAATTCTGTAGTAGTAATCTGAAGTTTTGACAGATACTTGTTTATGTGTTCTGTAAAACTCATCTCATTAAACTTAGTAAGACAATTAGTTGTTCTGAAGTTGTGAATGTAACGCGCTATAATCTTTTGATATAGGGAAAAGGGTCAAAAATACCCCTCAACTTTGTTTTATTGTTTGACTATACCCTTACCGTTAAAACGAAGTTATTTTTGCCCCTGCCGTCTACAAACTCATCACATTTACTCCTCAATTGGATGGAAACCCCCAAATCAACAAAAATTACCCGATTTACTTAAATTAACCAATTTTAACCCGATTCCGATCCATCTAATAGATGACCCGCTTTGTTCATCTTCATCTTGAGATCAAGGCAAAAAACAATGGAGGAAAATACATTTTCAAAGACATGAATAACATTTTCATAACCTAATGGGATTAAGTAAATACAAGTAAGTAAGCCTAAAACCTCAACTTCCCCAACCTTCCTACTTCCCAGACGATTAAACCCATCGTCGCCGTAATCACTGTTCCGGCACCATTACAAAGCCCAAGCAATTCAGTCAGAAGCTTTTATGTCATAATCATGAGATGTTTCAATCGATTTATTTCTAATTCTCTGTATCACCGTTCCAGAA